TTCGAAAATCCGCACTCTTAAACTGACCTTAAAGTTTATTAAATCAACCAATTTTTTTTTTAAAAAGGCAGCTCAATGAAATTCTTAACTTTGCCAAGCGTTAGAAATGTATTCATGATTCAATAAACAAGTTAGCTAGTAAGTCTGACAAATTTATCATACATGTAGATTCATCTTTTTTGTGAATCGTTTTCCTAGAAAATGACAAATGATCAGCAGTGAACTGATAATAATTCATTTGATGCTTATTACTTTGGTAGAGGATGTGTTAAACATGTTGATAAGAGATTTTTCAATTAAAAATTCAGATGATGTTCCACAACCACAACAAACTGAAGAAGACGAGACATTCACTGTCACTACTCCTGCAGCTAGTAAACCTGAAATATTTATCATACATGTAGATTCGTTTTTTTTCCTTAATCAGTTAATATTATTTTTCTTGGAAAAATGGCAGAACATCAACAGTGAACTGATAATAATTTATATGATGCTTATTATTTTGGTAAACATTGTAAAGGGTGTGTTGAACATGTTTAAATTCAGGCTGTATTGGCAGAAACTGATATTCAAATTTTGTTGTAGAAAAGATAAGAGACAAAGAAAGTGGAAAATTTGTCCACAAGAAAACAGGGACAGTAACAGACTTTAAGAGAAGGAGAAAGATGTGGAGAGAAAAAGACTGAGTAGAGGACTTAAAGTTTTTGAGAAAATGGCAGCATTTGCAAATGACAACAAAGATGTCAAATATTTTGCTGTGATAAAAAAGGTGAAAAAGTTCATTTTTCTGTAAGTGAAGATCTAGTAAAGAACTTCAAAGAAAATAAAAACATTCTTAATTTCAAAGACTCAGTGATTGAAACCAGAGAGGAATCAATTCTGAGAAAGATCAACAAAGCCAAAGTCAAACATAATGTCGTACAGCCATCACCGTATAAAGGAGCCCATGGCACTGGTTTGGGCTTTCTACCAGGCTGTTCTCAGATGCCCCCAAAGGAGCTACAGCATCTTGAGCTTACCAAGATGACATCTACAAGCGGAGAGGATATAGCTGCTATTTCTAAAGAAACTGTTTTGATTTTAAAGTCAAGGATTTTCCTTAGGGAAAAAGGAAAACCAGTGAAAAGAAGACAGGCAGAATTGGAAGGAACATCAGGAGCAGACATGGCAGAGGAAACGAAGTAGGAAAGAAATAGGGAAGAGGAAGAGGCAAAGGCCGGGGAAGAGGCAAAAAACAGTAGACATGGTAGATTTAAGTGTACAACGGGAAAGAATGTAAATATTTCGTTTTCATTTTATATCTAGATTTAAGTGTACAACGGGAAAGAATGTAAATATTTTGTTTTCATTTTATATCTAGATTTAAGTGTACAACGGGAAAGAATGTAAATATTTCGTTTCATTTTATATCTACTGTGGTTACATTAATATTTGCTGGCATTAATTTTCATGGATTTAGTAAAATCATAGTTTCAAGGGAATGTCAATTTATGGTCAATAATATTATAAATATAATATGTTTACATAAGTAAGACTTCAGTGAAAAATTAATTTTTTGAATATACATAACGAAATTCACAAAAATTAGTATCCAGTAAATATTTATGAAACCACAGTACTTCAGATGATTTAGTTTTTTATGTTGCAAATTGAGTAATCTTTATTGAAATTTTGTAAAGGAGTGTTTGAATTTTGATTGAGTTTAAGTGTTAAAATTACTTTTATCATGCTAATAACACCAAATAATGTAACATTTTATGTAAACCAATTGAGCCTCTATGTCTATGTCAATTGGTTACCATGTTTACTGAATGTAGTAACACTGGTTTCTGAAGAAATTACTTCAGATCTGTTTTATTATGAACATAATGAATAAAGCATTCAAATATTTTCATTCAAAATTATTTACATGATGCACAATATGATGACAACAACAGTGATGATTGTGCTTATTATGCTAATGGAATGAAAGTGATCATCATACTTATGCCAACAAATCTCTTAATTGTCACAGAAATATGTAAGAAGATGGTACATGTCTTCTCAAAAAACCGGAACTTTCTCCAAGTCGTCTGTAAGAAGTGTCATTGCTAAACTCCAACACATAAAATCAGTGAAGTTTCAGTCTCCCACTTGATACTGGACCTTCAAAATGGCGTGTCCCAATGTACAGACAAAATGTCCTCCTAAGTTTCTGTGTCACTCTCAACTCAAGCGAAATGACAATGCATATGTCTGTTAGCCCCCATTTCTTTCACTGAGACAGCTAGCGGGTCCCATCTGTTTGTAGGCTCGGGAATGCATTCCATCACATATGGATGATTCCGGCTAAACTCTGTTGGCATGTTTCTGAAGTGATGGTATCTAAAAGGGTGCTATATATATATATATATTGAAGAATAGGTGTCAGAAGAAAATTGAAAGTAGAGGGGGGTAATTGAAAGGGGGACTATAAGGTAAACCCCAATTTTTAATGTCTATATTATGTCTATCTATGAAATGAAAAGGAGGGGGGCGGTTTCTGACGAGTATGTTTAAGTTAAGACTAGAGCATGTCTTTCAACATGTTTAATAAACTTTTAGAACTAAAAAAAAATTTAAAAGATACATTTAAGATATACTTTCTGCTATATAAACTTCCCAATTGTTTGAAAATCTGAAGAAAACAAACACATAAAATGCATAAAGCTTTCTACATGTTCTATCTGTACAGTTGACAAGTTAATCATGTAAACAAAATTGTAAACATGATAAATACTTATTTACCCATTAATCGTTGAGAAGAAGAGGATAACTTTGTCCGATACGTTGTCCCATCCCTTTTCTCTTCTTAATCTTTGGACTCTCTTTCGCCATCTTTGGCGTCTTCGAAATGAAACTTCCATAATTTGACCAGTGATTACAATAATTTGTGAAAATATTTTTTGAACAGTTCAATATGTTTGTTTTTGTTAAAATTTGATGAATTATGGATAGAATTGCAATCCTATCAGAGATGTTTTAATTAATTTGGATGGAATTCCATCCATTTCATTTGAAGGATGGAAATCCATCCTTTTTTTAGGACGGATTTTCCATCCAAAACTTGTAACTTTTAGATCGGACGGTTTTCCGTCATGGACTTGACTGATAAATAGTGTAATTACGAATAGTTATGAGCATGCTGTATCTGAGATCGCCAACACTCAATCGCATCATCTCGAGTCTTTCCATCAGAGGTCGGAAAAACAACCTCGAATGTATTAACATCACCGGATGTTAAAAATTTATATATATTTCCTGTTTATTCAAATATAGGATAGACGAAGTTAGAAGTCCCTTCTATAGTATATTTTAGGTAATATCATTACATTGAATAAAGTTAAACTCCATATTCCACAGATAAAAGGTCTCCATGCATTTATTTCAAAGATCGTGAAAAGGGAGGGTTGTCATTGCGTCTACCATATACATTCGAGGTCGTTTTTCCGCTAGTCGGAAAGGCCCGAGAAGTTGCGATTGCGCCAACTCTCTAAAGAAAACAAGTAATATTACCCGAACATTTCACCGTAGTTTATATGCATTTGTTTGCCAAAGGTAGGCGTTTCAAACATTTTTTGTGAGTGTATTTTAATGAGAGTAATTAGTTTATTTAAAAATGGTATCGTTTTTTTAGATATAATTATAATGAACTTGTTGATAAAAAAGCTTCATTATCACAGTTCCTTTGTAAGTTTACAAGTTTAACACAGTCGGTCATTATCGCAATGTATCAGATTATTATATAACTTGATAAGTGATACGGAAAGAGACACGGATAAGCTGCTTCCTGTTATGTACACGTATCATAACTATTCAAAGTAAAATATACATGTTTATATTACATTATCCTTTTTCATTTTTTTTAATTATGTATATTTTTACTTTCGTTTTAAATTCATTGTATCAACTACGGAAACCCAAAGAAGTAAAAAAAAAGGTAGGAAAAGTGCCCTTTCTTATTGATATAGGGACAAATGAAATGATTGTTTCGTGTACATTGAAACTTTAAAATACACCGTAATAAAAGAGTCTTTTGAATATATTGATTATAATAATTAGGAATTAATTGAAAAAAAAATAATTGTTAAACACCCCGTATGTTGTAAAAATCATATTTAAATTAAAATATGACTCTAAAATTCGGGAAAAATCACGGACCCTGGAAACACAGAGGGTTGTTCAGTGTCTATTTTCATTTAAAAAAAAAGTCTTACGACTGTGACAAAAATTTCACTACTCTTAATTCAATGAAGATATTTTTATTGTTTACAATGCAATCATAAAATAGTAATATAATGTAGTAGAAAAATAAGATTTTGGCAGGTTGCATATCCCTTGAAAAATGGTGGGAAATTTCATTCATGTAGAGTTGTCGTTCGTATCTCTTTCAGTGTTTATAAATGAAGCTACACTAAAAATGAGGTCCATTACGAAAAACTTTTGAGGTTCTTTATAATTTAGTTTTACTTTTGACGAAATCTAATATTCAAAATAAGATTACTTTATCATTACATTTGCTTAGATTTCAAATTATAAAAATTAGATCAATTCAGCAGAAAATGACATGAACTATTTTTGGCGGATGTTTATGCATGTTTTCTGTTGAATATCATCGGAGTAAATTGGTCAACACAGTAGCCTCGCTTTCGGCTCTATATAATCGACACAAATTACTGCTCATGTTAAATGCGTGATGACCAAGGGAGATTGAACATAGCTCAAATCCCAAAAAGACAATAATGATAACAATTTTAAAGTATTTGTATATGAACAACAATAATAAATCTCAAGCTTATACATAAAGAATATATTTAAACATGGGGACTCATGTGTAAATATTTTAGATTATTTGTTGTCAAATTAAATTCTATGAAACAAATCGGCCAATTTTAAAGCAAAAAATCCAAATTGTTTATTAAGATTACCTTTGAATACGAATTATTGAAATAAAATTTTATAATTTAATCTTTTATATGCAGATGACAGAAGTCAAGAATTCGAAAAACTGGCGTTCCGGCCTCAGTGTTGCTGAATGTAACAGATATATGCTTAAAAACGAGATCCATTGTGATGTCTCATTCAAGGTTGGGAAAGAAGGAAAGCTTGTTCGCGCTCATAAGTATGTTTTAGCGTGCAGAAGTCCCGTGTTTGACGCAATGTTGTATGGTGACCTGGCGGAAGCTAATGACATTAAAATTCCTGATATTGAGCCATCTGTATTTCATGTTCTTTTAAGGTAAAATTTTCGTTTTATTATTTCCTTGCCGTATATTTAGCTCTATGAAAATCACTTTCATAAATCTGTTGTTTTTTATCTTTTCATTACGTTTTACGAATCATTTCTACAATAAATAATTGCTACATAGTAAATCAAAGTATTAAAATAATAGCATTAAGCATTAGATATTCTTTATATGTATAGATTTGCAGTCTACGCAATGCCTGTATTATGCGAATGTGCTGAAAAAAAAGTCATGTTCATAATATAAACGCCGTATTTTCTTTTTCTTTTAATTCTGTTGAAGTCTTTCATTAGTCATATGCACAGAAATTATGTTCAGGTTTTGCTGAAGTATTTCCTCTGTCAGTTTTGGTTCATGATATACATATACCATCGTGTATTTTTACTTCAAATACTTATACTCATTTTATGCACTGCCATGAATATGACCGGGCATATAGTGTTTGTCATGTCCGTCTTCCGTCCTGCCGTCCATCTGTCCTTTTGTCCTTCGGTCACACTTTGTGTTGAGTTCAGTTCAAAGCTCAGTTTCAAAGGTACTCTCCAAGATATTTTCATCAAACTTCATAGGCTGATAGAAATTGATAAGAGCTATGCAGAAGCATTAACATTTTTTAACCTTGACCGTTCCTTTGACCTTGAGCTCACTTTTCATAAATAAGTGTTTATCTCAGTTTTAAGGATAATTCTAGATAGTGTTATCAAACTTTATATGCTGATGCATACTGATGAGAGCTACTCCATTGCATTAACATTTTTGATCTTGAACTTTCCTTTGACCCTGACGTCACTTTTCTTAAATGAGTGTTTAGCTTGGATTTAAAAAATACCGTTTAAGATAGTACTATCAAACGTCACATGTTGATACATACTGAAGAGAGCTATTCAACTGCATCACCATTTTTGACCTTGACTTTATCTTTGATCTTGACCATTTTTTTCTTATATTAGTGTTTAGCGCAGTTTTAAAGAAACCGTCCGAGATATTTATATCAAACATCATATGCTGATACATACTGATGAGAGCTTTTCAACTGTATCAACATTTTTTTTACTTTGACCTTTGCTTTGACCTTGACTTTGCTTTTCTTAAATTAATGTTTAGCTCAGTTTTAAAGATACCATTCAAGATATTTTTATCAATCTTCATATGTTGATTTACACTGATGAAAGTTATTCAACATTTGACCTTGACCTTTCCTTTGACCTTGAACTCGTTTTTCTTAAATTAGTGTCAAACTTCATATGCTGATACATTGTACATACTGATGTAAGCAATTGACCTGCATCAACATTTTTGACCTTGACCTTTCCTTTGACCTTGACCTTACTCTTTCAAATAAGTATGTTGATTTATATATAAATGTATGCAATTCAATTGCATAAACATTTTTGACCTTGACCTTTCAATTGATCTTGACCTCACTTTTATGAAATTGTGTTTAAGTAAGTTTTAAAAAACCGTTCATAATATTTTTTTAACTTCATATGCTGATACATACTGATGAGCTTTTCAACATTTTTTGACCTTGGGCTTTCCTATTACCTTGACCTCACTTTCCTTAAATTAGTGTTAAACTACATATGCTGATAAATAATGATTTAAGCAATTCAACTGGATTACTATTTAAAATATTCTGATCAAATTTCATACACAAATTCAAATTTTCATGTTGCATTACTGATATACCCACGGCGTAGCTGCAGAACTGTAGCGTTATGGTTTTGTATTTTAGTCTTTGACCATAACGCTACAGATCCCGTAATGCAAAAAATGTGCAATTTAAGGCTAAAGATTTTTTGCACACTTTTGGGGAGAATTTCTTCACTTTTCAGCATTGGCCAATCAACTACTGTTCACTCCCTAGTTCTAGACACATGCTTTTACCATTCTGTATATTTTATCTACCTCCAAACTCTTTCAAGTTGTCTCTACAGGCGATAATCTCGCTGTAGGTGAAATTTCAGCAATCCAATAGCCAATTCTATTCAAGCGAGATTATCACTTGCAGAAACGACTGCAAGGGTTGAAAGGTTGGAGAAAAAAATGCAAATTGGTTTAAGAATGTGTCTAGAATGCATGAGTGAAAGATGGTTGGTTGATTAATGCTGGAAAATGGAGAAATTCTCCCCAAAAGTGCACAAAAATTCTTGCCGTAAATTGCAACTGTTTTGCATAACAGGATCTGTATCGTTATGGTCAAAGACTAATAGCTTTGTAGTTCTGTAGCTACCCTCGGCGGGGCATTCATGTCCTATTGACATTATAGTTTGCAGCTCAGTGTAAAGTTTCACATTACCTCAAGATCTAGTTTATGGCTGCGCTCTAGATAAATTGTACACGCCTCCTAACCGCAAGCTTTACGACGGGAACTTTCTTCTTATCCCTGATTGGTTGCTCGTGCAACATACTATTTCCGTTTCAATGTTGATAATTTGAGTTGACCAATCACGTGAATTGTTTACACTAGTTGCATCTGACGAAAAAGATCGTGACTTAACATAACACTTAACTGCAAACTTTACATGTAATATTTCTAGTTTTTACCAGAATCTACTCTGCTCTTCTTTTTGTCAGAAAATGATATCAACAAATATTTGAATTGAAAAGATCATTTATTACAAATACCAATGAAATATAAAGCAGTATTGTTTTATATAAAATATATTTACAAGAAAAAAATTAAAACAGCCCAAAAGGTACATGCAGGGTGTCTCAGCTAACATGTTCCAATTTTGTGGTTTCAGTAGAAAATTACACAGTGTAAACGAAATATTTTTTTGGAAAAAGGAAAAATACATAACTGACAATTTTATCAACATGGAAGTTTGAGTAATTTTGAATCAATTATTCTTTTAAGACAGGCATTTTAAAACATTGAACAGCACGACTAGTTTTCATTTTATCGTTATTTTTATGTATCTAAAAGTCGCAATATTTTCAGTAAGCATCCCTATTTTGTCTCTTAATTCCTTTATGAGATATATTTTTTGGACATTTCTAATGAAAACATGTTTTCCAGAAAGATGATTTTAATTTGAAGACTTTCTTGTGCAAATTCTTATGCACTAATATTCATGATTTTAGAGATTTTCTGTTTGCATTGATTAGTTTTTAAACATCCATTGATCCATTTATGAAGAAAAAACCTCAAAAACCAATTTTTGAAAATTTTATTAAAACTTCAACGGAAAAAATTAAATGACTTTAATATCTTATATTGTTTACAACACAATGATATTGCAAGAAAATGGGCTTTAAGGGGACGAAGGATGTATGCTCATGTGACTCAGTTGAACTACGTCATAATCTTTGATAAAATATGTACAAAACGAGATTGAAACCACAGTACTTGTATATTTTTTTGACTGTTTGTCTGCGTTCACCATCTAGTATAAAAATATCTGAAAACATTTAAAATTTCTTGCAAATATTATCAAATTACGGAAAAGATTTATCCACTCTTACGTTTCCCTACACTGCGCGTCCAGCGCGCCGTTGACGTCATAGTGGATCTCTTAGTAGAGTAAGATCATACATGGTAAAAACGGGTAGTATAAAATCATAAAAACGGGCCATAATCTTTGCATGGTGGGGTATTTTGTGAATTTCAGAACGCAAAAAATATTTTTACATGGTTGTTGACGGAAATGTTCCGTGGGCATGTCTTATTTCGCTTATTTCAGAAATGTGTGACGTCATAGTTGGGTTTTCCCATACTCGAGAAATGTAAACATGACACGTTTTTCTCATGATCAGGTCTCGTTTAACTTTGCCCCGTACAATATTGAGCTCAGCTTCACCAATCGATATTTTTACAGTTAATCAATACAATGACTAACTTGAACTTCGACGTAAATTTTCAAATATTGAATGATAGGATTTTTTGCAAATTATTTTTTTTTATTGTTTAAGTTGTCTTAAAAAGTTGGTAAATTTCCGTCTTCAGATGTGGTGTTACAAAAGGATCTTGCTTTTTCGAATTATTAACCCTATTCATACTCTAAAATATTTTAAAAGACACATTTCCGCTGGCATATTTTTTATCTATGCTGAAAAAATTCAATTATCGACCGAGTAATGGACCCAGAAACACGGACAATCAACTCTCCGCCCAGACACTGTGGGGTATGGTATTTGTCACTTAATATCTCAGAAATAAGTCTAGAAACCTATTGATATGTCTGCTTTATAGTATGTGGGACATACTAAATAAGATATATACAAAATCTGAAAAAAATTAATGACAGTTATTTTTTCAGCTAAAGGTCCTTCCTCGCCTATAGATATAGTTATTATTTTTATATATATTATTACTGTGCAAAAATATAGACATTAATAGTCGGGGCATGTTTGTTGAAACACCCTGTACAATAAAAATGAAATGCATATCTTAAATATGCCCTAATAAATAAAGAACAATCATGCACATAGAATTCTATAAGTATACCAAATAAAAAACACATGACTAAAAATGGCAAAAAAATGGGATTTGATCTGTCAAAAACTTGTCGTAAACCAGTAGGTTAGATGATATACTTATAATTTATTAAATTTTTTATATAGATTTCTGTATTGCGGTGATGTTGATGTTACTGAGGATACAGTAATCGGGGCATTGTACGCTGCTGAAAAATATGATGTTGAGGAATTGAAAAAAGCATCGCAATCATATCTAGATGAAAATATTAGAACGGAAACTGTCTGTGTAATCCTTGAATCTGCAAAGTTATTCAAGTTTGAAAGTCTGAACGAAAAATGTATGGATTTCATTGAAAAAAATTGTGTTTCAGTATTTCAGTCGCCGTCTGCTTTAGGACTAATGAAAGAAACCCTCAGCGAGGTAGTCTCGTCTGAGAACCTAGATATAGAGGAGATTGAGATATATCACTTTCTAATAAAATGGGCTGAAAATAAATGCGAAAGGAAAAATATGGTAAAGTCTGATGAAAATATCAGAAAAGAAATGGGAGATGTCATATATCAAGTTCGTTTTCAGTCAATGAATTTAGAAACATTTGCAAAAGAAGTTTGCAAACGGCAAATACTAAATCCTGAAGAGATGATTAATTTACAGCAAATAATTGTTGGTAATATAAACAAACGAAACACAAAATTCAATCTTGGAAAACAGAGATATAAAACGTTTACGGTTTTACGAAGCAGTGGGCCGAATGCTGGCTGGGGTTATTCGGGTCCCGAGGACAGTTTAGAATTTACTGTAAACAGAAATGTTAAACTTCATGGTTTTCTGATGTGGGGAGGAAAGTCGGTTCCATATACATACACGGTTGTGGGCAAATTGCTTGAAAACTCGACTGATGTCGGAGACATACCTTCTCAGATAATAGAGAAAACCGATTCTATGGATTATCAGTTTGAAGTTAAACTGAGGAAGCCCGTGGTTTTATTTCCTAACAAGAGATACAGAGTTTGGGTTAAATTACAAGGACCTAGCAGCTGGAACGGTAAAACATACAAACAGTCCGTTAACGAACAGGGTGTCCAGATAAAATTTTATACGCATAGAGGGGAGAATAATTGGACTTCGGATACTGATGGACAGTTTCCGGGATTAATCCTGTCATTGTAATGAGGTGATATACGTTAATTCCGTGGCAACATCAAACTAATAATATCTGTTCGTATATATGGCATATAAACTGTTTATTTTTCGATGAAAAATCAACACAGACTTGTACAGGGTGTTTCATAATATATGTTACATTTTGAGTCCTCAATTTGACAGACAAAAGAAAAAGAAACAGATAAGTCTTTTCATCAAATTGATGCACATATCCATAAGATTCATAATGTTCAATTACCAAGTAAGATATTAAACACTGAAGAAAATCTTAAACATTAATGAAAATTAGTAAAATTTCCAAGTTGTGCCATTTTTGCTACGTTGAATTTCACAACGTCAAAAGTTCACATTACATGTTCCAAATGATCTCCATTAATTCAACAATAAATGAAGTTGCTTCTTGAAATTTGTATGTAATCTTGTCACATATTTTTGCTTAGATACTCCTCATTTGAAGGTACACATTCTTTTTGAGCTCATTCAGTACCTGTGGTTTACGATTGTACACCCTATTCCTTACGAACCCCTCAGAAAACTAGAGCCCAAAAATTGAGATTGTCGAATGCAGAGGTCAAACTGTTTCCTTGCATTAATTATTGAAAATTTGTATACTAATTACTTCAGATCATATTTAAAAGTGCATTATAAGCTGAAAATGCCGATATTACCATAATAAATTTCTGAAAATATCTTTCAGACACTTATCTCAGAAGTGTGCTACATTGAAGATCGTGTCTCAACTTCAGCAATAAAATCTCCACTTCTTAAAGTCTTCAGGCTTTCTGGAATACTGTGTCATTTATTGCATACTGTCCGTCCCTGTCCTAGCTTTAACCTTGTTACTACCCTTCTGATAAGCATCTTAGAAAGCTTCTGTTTTTTTTTGGTTTTTTCAACTTGTGAATGAATGGAATGAATATTGGCGACAAGATTTGAAAAAAAAACAGCTTTACAATTCAGCACTGAGTGTATAAGTCAAGTCGATTTTGAGAAATATTCATATTATGACATCAACATTTATAGAACAATTAATCATTGCAAGACCATGATTTCCTTGACTTTTTCAAAAATGCAGGGTTCGATGTTTAAAATGATATAATGGTTGAAAGACTGTATACAGGGTTATTTTCGCCCCGTCTTATTTTCGCCCTTTCACACTTGCAAACAATTTTGCCCCGTTTTAAATTCGCCCAGTCATAGTTTTGTTTAAGAAATACTACTGTATTCTTTGAATTCGCCCCGTTTTAAATTCGCCCAAATGAGGGTCGGGCGAAAGGGGCGAAAATAAAACGGGGGCGAAAATTTCCCTGTATACAGTAGAAATATGTTAGGTAAGAAAAATAATTAGATCTGAAAATGTAACATATATTATGAAACACCCTGTATTTGATTCATTATATTCTTTTCACTACTTTTGCTCTTAATATGATTACTTCTTTTACATTTTTGTATAAATTTCTTGCTTTTTTATTTACCAGAAATAAATAATGCGGTCAATCAAAGCGTAAATTATATGATCCTTTTCATGGATTTCTTTTATTGTGGTTTTTATGGGGTTTTTTTTAGCTCGCCTGAGCCGAAGGCTTAAGTGAGCTTTTCTGATCATATTTTGTCCGTCGTCCGTCTGTCTGTCCGTCCGTCTGTAAACTTTTCACATTTTCGACTTCTCAAGAACCACTGGGCCAATTTTAACGAAACTTGGTACAAAGCATCCTTGGGTAAAGGGAAGTTTAAATTGTACATGAAGGGCCAAGTCCTATTACAATGGGAGATAATTAAGAAAAAACAAAAATAGGGTCGGGTCATTAAAAAATCTTCTCAAGAACCACTGGCCAGGAAAGCTAAAACTTATGTGGAAGCATCCTTGGGTAGTGTAAATTGTTAAAATCATGACCCCCGGGGGTAGGGCGGGGCCACAATAGGGAATCAAAGTTTTACATATAAATATATAGAAAAAAATCTTTAAAAATCTTCCTCTAAAGAACCACTGGGCCAGGAAAGCTGAAACTTATGTGGAAGCATCCTTGGGTAGTGTAAATTGTTAAAATCATGACCCCCGTGGGTAGGGCGGGGCCACAATAGGGAATGAAAGTTTTACATATAAATATATAAAAAAAATCTTTAAAAATCTTCCTCTAAAGAACCACTGGGCCAGGAAATATTCATATTATGACATCAGCATTTATAGAACAATTATCATTGCAAGACCATGATTTCCTTGACTTTTTCACATGAATCAAAAATGCAGGGTTCGATGTTTAAAACGATATAATGGTTGAAATAGAAATATGTTAGGTAAGAAAAATAATTAGATCTGAAAATGTAACATATATTATGAAACACCCTGTATTTGATTCATTATATTCTTTTCACTTCTTTTGCTCTTAATATGATTACTTCTTTTACATTTTTATATAAATTTCTTGCTTTTTTTATTTACAAGAAATAAATAATGCGGTCAATCAAAGCGTAAATTATATGATCCTTTTCATGGATTTCTTTTATTGTGGTTTTTATGGGGGGTTTTTTTAGCTCGCCTGAGCCGAAGGCTTAAGTGAGCTTTTCTGATCATATTTTGTCCGTCGTCCGTCTGTCTGTCCGTCCGTCTGTAAACTTTTCACATTTTCGACTTCTTCTCTAGAACCACTGGGCCAATTTTGACCAAACTTGGTACAAAGCATCCTTGGGTAAAGGGAAATTTGAATTGTAAATGAAGGGCCAAGTCCTATTACAATGGGAGATAATTAAGAAAAAACAAAATAGGGTCGGGTCATTAAAAAATCTTCTCAAGAACCACTGGCCAGGAAAGCTAAAACTTATGTGGAAGCATCCTTGGGTAGTGTAAATTGTTAAAATCTTGACCCCTGGGGGTAGGGCGGGGCCACAATAGGGAATCAAAGTTTTACATAGAAAAATATAGAAAAAAATCTTTAAAAATCTTCCTCTCAAGAACTACTGGGACAGGAAGGCTGAAACTTAGGTGGAAGCATCCTTTGGTAGTGTAAATTGTTAAAATCATGACCCCCGTGGGTAGGGCGGGGCCACAATAGGGAATGAAAGTTTTACATATAAATATATAAAAAATCTTTAAAAATCTTCCTCTAAAGAACCACTGGGCCAGGAAAGCTGAAACTTATGTGGAAGCATCCTTAGGTAGTGTAGATTTAAAATTTTCAAAATCATGACCCCCGGGGGTCGGGCGGGGCCACAATAGGGAATCAAAGTTTAACATTGAAATATATAGGAAAAATCTTTAAAAATCTTCCCCTCAAGAACCACAGGACCAGGAAAGCTGAAACTTATGTGGAAACATTCTTGGTTAGTGTAGAATCTAAATTGTTAAAATCATGACCCCCGGGGGTAGGGTGGGGCCACAATAGGGAATCCAAGTTTTACATAGAAATGTGTAGGAAAGAACCACTGGGCTATTGGAGCTGAAACTTTTATGGAAGCGTCCTTCAGTAGTGTTAATTTTAAATTGTAAAAATCATAACCCCTGGTATAAGGACGGGGTCAGAATAGGGAATCTAAGTTTTACATACAAATACACTGTATATATGAAAAAATCTTTAAAAATCTTCTTTTCGGGAACTACTGGTTTTGGAGAGTTGAGACTTATGTGGAAGCATCCTGGGGTAGTGTGGATTCTAAAGTATTAAATCATGACACTATAGGGGGTAGGGGCCACAATAGATATAACAAGAGGGGAAATCTGGTAAAGAACTGCATCACCCAAGTTATTCAGGTGAGCGATGTGGCCCAGAGGCCCCCTGTTTGTTTTTAATTTTATTATATATTTTTTTGAGTTCGTCACTATCAAAGTATGCAGGTACCAGTAATACTCTTATATATGCATTTGTTTTATTTTTCTGTTGTATATTATAACAATGTGCCTCAGTCTTTGTTTTGTTTCAAAATGCTGATCAACCAAGCAAATAATACAAGCAATTAAGACGAGTTGGTCCGTAGGTGAAACAGAGAATGTTTTGATGTATTTTGAGGAACAATTCCATCCATATTTCTTCCTTACTAAGAGAAGAAAACAAGGAAATTGTGTAGTGACGTGTATGGATTGAAATAATGTATGTGCCTTGTTTTTGAATATCTTTATTACATCATATACAATGTACTTCGAATAATACAAATCTTAGTCATCCCCGGAATTTAAAATCATTTCAACAATGTTTTTAATATATGCGAGAGAATTTACCTCATAATTCCTGGATAAAATGGGGTTTTCGGCATTATTACTTTCGATAATTTTGTTTGATAAGGGAAGATATTGTGTAATTTCTACATTGCGAAGATGTCCATAAGGAATTGGTGCTTTCATTGGGTTGAGTATCATATTCTGTGGCATTAAAATATGTATAGTGAACTATCCGGACGAACGAATTATGTTTGTAATGAAATAAAATCTTCCGTGTTTTTTTCATTCAGAGCATTTTTCAGAGATTTGTTTTTGGTTTATTCAATTCATCAAATCTCAAGAATTATCAATGTACACATAATTTTTATTTTTGTTCAAATTACAAAATTACAAAAAAATTTTGCATGTATGATATGATTAATAAATGGAGAAATTTACTCTTGATTCAAAATTGTGCTTATGAATACTTGTAGGAGATTAATTGCGTTTTATCGGAGGCATGAAAAATCTATGAAATGATTAATGAGCAACGCGGTAAACAAGTGACAATTTTTAAATATTTATTCTATTTTTCTAAATCGCCTACAACTTCAACGCGGTTTTCACTATAAGTGCATTGGAAATATTTTAATCTGATCCTGAAACAAATGAAATAGCTGTGAAAATCTATAATGGCTATAGCTTTCAAAAATAAGAATTTTCAAACTATCTTATTTTTGTGCAAGTTAAGGTCGGGACCTATTTGCATTATGCCTTGATTAGTGTGTTTTTGGGGTATAAGGTATCAACTTTTGTATGTTGTTTTTTTTCCCATGACAATGTTCTGCTTTTAGATTAGAAACTATACTTTTTACCATATCTTTAATTTAGAATCTGATGTTGGTGCCCATATGTTGCATTACGAGCTTATGCGCGAGTAAGGTGTCCATCTATCTACTATTACTAACAATTTTTCAAATGCTACTCCTCCTTCAGTTTGGTCTGATTTTTATAACTTGGAAAGCAGGTAGAGTACACTACGATACATATCTTAGTGTATATCGGTCTTTGTTATTGATTTCCACGGTGTTGCCATGTATACTAAAATTAAATTTTTCTGTGAAATCTCTTTAAAACGCTGCTTCTTCACTTTTAGTCTTATTTGAATATACCGGTTTGTTGACACACAAGTGGACTTCACTGAGGTATATGTACATGTATATAATTAGATGAATTGGTTTTTAATGAGTTTGTTTCCATGGGTACATAAAATTAAAAATTCTGTGAAATTCCCTACGCATTAAAACGCTACTCTGATTTCAATATCTTTTTTTTTTACAAAGCTATAAAGTAAAAAGTAAAGAAGATGTCCACAACCTGAAAATGTCTCGCATATCAGGTAAGGTGAATCGCTATTTAAAATGTTTTTGTCCTTTTATAAATATTTTGAATTTCATGATGCACCTATTCTTCATGACAACTTATTGCTAATTAATGTCTATCAATATTGTATTCTTCATGTACACTGTATCTGGGTTAGTGTAAGAAGATACAAAAACGGTAGTGGCAGAGTAAATATTTTCTTCACAAAATATTTATTATAATAATAGGTGTTTTGCTTAATCATGTTTTTTATTCATCTGGTTATGCTTATCTTTTTTAAACATAAAATAGACTTAGTCCAGGTTTTGGGCTAAGTAATTAAAATTATTTTGACAAAAGACTTGTTAATGACGGATGGCAAATATGATGGAAAGCAGTTAGTCAGAGATGTTTATATACGCAAAACAAACAAGTGACCGAAAATCACATAACCATTTTTACCTTCATTTCTGCAACATTATACATGTAACTAGATATCTTACCAAGACTTTTTTCTTTGTATATCTATTAACAAAAACACATGCGTATATATCACTGCTGTACACTTTTTCCTCATTTTACTTATTATTGTTTGTTGTCAAACATAAACACGGTATGTAAAAAAGACACAAAATTGTGTATTCCGTATCTAAGGTATATTTGGTATATGTATATTTGGCGACCAGATCTTCGAAAGAATGTGAAATTTTATTATTTTATTTAATTAAGTGTTACATGTATATGCTTATGTAAATAAGAGGATAGTTTGTTAGAAAAAAGTAAAGAAAATACACTTTCACATGAAGAAAGTTGGACTAGGATATAAAAGACATTTAAAAGAAGAATAAGGCGTATATATTTGGTAAATTTATAACATTTGCATAATTATTTAAGTAATCACGAATCATTTAAATGATCTATTT